TTTGACATTTAAAAAAGACAAAACCCTCTCTGTATTTTGCTTTTTGCACCCTAGCTGACGTGTGATGTTCATTTTCAAGTGGCTGAAAGTCTTCAGATGTCATGTTTTTGAGTGACTCATGCAACAAGTGAAGGCTAGTCATAGCTGGGACTCAGTTTGGAGAACTACATGCCCTTTGCTAACGTTTGATTTTAATCACCCAGTGTTTTTAGTTTTGTTCCAAAATTAAGTTGATCATCTTTTGTATTGATGTTGTAGATGAGCAGAGTCAAAATAGAATTGAACTAATGAGGGAAGCAGAAAGGTCGATGTCTTGACAAACTGAAGGATGCTAATGGAGTTCTGTGTTTGAGTCTCCCTACTACTATTGACCAAAGGCTGGTCCAATAATGTGTCAATTTACATCAGAGCTTCTGATCCTGAGGACATGGAGGAGGTGAGACTTAAGGTTTCTGTGTCTTTTTAAATATTGAGCTTGTAGTCCTGCTGCAGATGTTGGGGCTTTAATGAGCTTTGATACCATAAGTAATCTTTGTCTCACCATTATAAACCTCTGGAGGATGAGCCTTTGAATGTTATGACAGAGAAAAGTTTCCGATACCATCATGTGTGTCTGTAATGCACATTTTAAAGAGCAAGCACTAGATAATAGATGGAAAAAATATATAAATAGATGGGAAATAAGACCGCAGGGAGACAGGCAGCGCTGGCATGTGAGAGGACGATGGCGGACCCATCATAAAAATCAAGCTTTGACTCGATGATTACATCTTCTTCTGAAGGCTTCCGCTCCTCTGTGATACTTCCTGTCATTGTGCATATCTTTGACAGTCTGCCACACACGGCTGTATTTATGCATCTGTCTTTCACTTGTTTCCAGCCTTATACATTTTGTATTTATAGTTGATGGCTGACTGATTTCTCCATTATCCACTTTCACCCGCATGCCAGCCTGTCTGCACGCCTACCTCCTCTGAGTGGGTGAAATTACAGTGCCAAGCTTCATCATGCCATCAAGTGGCAGTAATGTTTTTTTAACTGTATGAAAAATGAATTAAATTAGGATGAAATTGGAGCTACAGTAAGAGCCAGAGGCACAGTTGCACAGACAAAAACAGGCAGTGATTGTGTGAGTACATGTAACTTACATTTTTTTTTTTGCAATGTCAGTAATTGTTATTTCTCATTCTATGATTTGCTGTGATGTTCTTTCTAATTTGGTGTGTAACGAGCCTCAAACCTCAATAAAAGTGTATTCCGCTTAACTTGACTGTTCAACGGAGTGCATGTGTTACCTTGTGAATATGTGTATTGGGTAGTGGTTTATTTCTGCCTTGAGATATGTTTGTAATGAATGAAAAGCAGCTTTGCCACCTGCTGCCCTAATGTCACTGAGACGCAGAGAGCGGGCCCTGAGGAGCACCATGAATATTTAACCAGGGCATGAAAGAGATGCGAAGATACTTGTTTTAATATGGGAGCCTCGCTGGAGTGAAAGACAGAAATGTTGAAGAAACATAAAGGAAGATGAGATGGATGTTGTTCAACAAAGATTTCAGAACATAATAATAAAAATTTTACGAGGACACACTATAGATTTTGACACTTTTTTTCCTCCAGTAAAGATATTTAAGGCTCATTTCAAGCTTAATAGCAGAAAATAAATGCCATTTTACAATTTTCTGTTTTGAATTTCATTTATATCAATGTGATTAGGCTTCTCACAAACGGATGCAAGTACACATGGCTATAACTAAAAGGTAAACAAAATGAATAAAAGTAAATAATAATAAAGTAGAACAAATATAATTTATAGATTTTAATAAACACGCAAACTATTTATAAAGCGAACATAAAAAAACAATGTACACATACAGTATAATGCACATTCAAATTCCTTCATCCATCAAAGGTTGCACAACATCAGAGATGAACACTATTACTAGATGAACACTGTTTACTAGTGATCAAAAACTCCACATTAACAGTCGGTGCGGTCATCACAACGTATACCAACAAACTCTGTTATCTGGTTGAAATGTCAAGGTAGAGGCACTAAAGTGAAGTCTATTCTGGGATAGATTCTCTTGTTAGGACCTGCTCATGGCAGTCTTGTAAAAAATCGATAATACAGCAACACAAAAAGGCTGAGTTTTGATCACACCAAGTGTTTCTACAGGTTAGAGTAAAAAAATGAAATCCAAACCATCGGCTTTTCCAAGGAGCATCTTTAATCTGAAACATGGAGGGATGTAAAAAAGGACGGTGTCAAATTTTCAAATGCTTTATGCTCGTTGGAGTAAAAATTAAAAAAGTGTTTTGTGAGAGCAGACAGATGAACACAAAACATTTCTTCTTATCGTGGTCATTTTCCTACCCCGTGATCCGAGCTCCTTAAGTGTAACACATTAATGAATTCCATGAGGTCTATACAGTACATGTAGATTGCAATATTTATGGGTCTTGTTTAATGTGATTTTTTTTTTTTTACGCTGGAGCCACACGAGGACGATAACGCAAACGGACCACAATCATTATCAAAAAAGTCTTCCGTCCACAGGCACCAGAAACGTCTCCGTTCACACGGGACCGCTTGAAAGCGCTGGAGACGCTGTAGTACATATGCCAGGCCTGTAAGTGGCGCTGTAGTCCTGCCACAAAAGCAGCGAAGAAGACTTCCCGCGCATGGTTGCCCTTCTGTTTATTCTCCGCTGTGGACGCTCTGGCTCTTTTTCTCCCTCCCCGAGGGACGAGGGGACCGTGCGGCAGAGTTTCAGTTAGATTTGTTTTTCGCCGGTCAACATGTCCGTTAAAGTTTAAATCATCCAGACAAAATTAGTTATTATAATAATAAAAAACTGAGTCTCTTTTCCTCCCCCTCTTCTGACAGCCCAGCAGATGATCTATTGCTTCAACGTTATCAGGAAATGATCGTATAGGCGTAAACACGGATCCGTTTGCCCCCCCCAGAGAGTTTCGTTTGCAGATCTACCCACCTTGGGACCCGTTATCGTTTTCTGCGTTTCCATGTCGGCCTTGTGTGGCCGAACCTTCTCTCTGATAGTGAACTGTAGCAGATACGACCGTTATCGTCCTCCTGTGGCCGGGGCTTCTGTCTCCAGGAGAATACTCAGTGCATTTTAATGAAAGTACTTGTAAAAGAGTGTCTTGTGGTTTTAAAATGCTGATGACAACGTATTCAGGATCTTGAGAAGAGAAGGCCATTTTTAGACCATTTTGTATCGATGTTATTACAGGATGTATAACTAGCACTGGTTTACTGATTATGATCTGAATATGGGCTGAAAATTACTGAAGCAAAGCCAATCTCTAATGGCAGGATAGACGCGCTCCGAAATTGCTAAACAGCGTGCTATAAAAAGGAAGGTGGAGAGAAGGGATGAAGAGGATTGGAGATGCTTTTTATTTGGTGTAAAATAGGATTGAGCGGTACTATCTTGGTAATTTCATCTAAATAAAATTTACAACAGGTAAAATGAAATGCTACATTAATATTATATCAAATGACAGAAATGAATGCACTTCTGTGATAACCATCAAAACGGGCTGATACAACTCTGGTCTGTGCAGGGAGGGTCAAGATGTTGTTGTGGGTACAGTATGCTCCAGTATGCGTTTGTCTGTCAGCATGACTTACAAACCTTGACAGCTGGGAGTTGAGTTGAATTCAGAGCTGTACCTCACCCTCGCCCTCACTTCTTCACTTATTTCCCCCATTACTTTGATTTCTGACGTGTGTGTGTTGTGGCCCGGCTGCCTTATGCACCATTGAGCTCTTAGAGAAAAAAGAAGAGATATCGAGGAACAGCTCCTTATAAACTGTAGATTCTCTCATTATTTTTAATCGGTACAGTATATTTGTCTCTTATGCAATCTTTTTGTTGCTATCATGCTCCCGTTCTTTGCCTCAAGCTGCTTATATTAATGTTTTATTGGCTCACGCTTTGCAGGCCCTTCTTAAAGATCCTTGTGCATTTGTGATTTATTATACCTGTGAAGTGCTGTTACAGTAATTCTGTACTTACGGCCTTTTCACTCATGTATCTTTTGGAGTGGAAAGATTAACCGGTTCACATCTGGCTTGTGAAGTGTGAATTTGAAACATGTGTTATGTTTGGAGGAAATACAATTGAAGAGAAGGTGGTGCAAGCTTCTCTGGTTTCCCTTTTTGTAAATTGTAACTACACATGGCTGAGCTGTGACTGCTTGTTAGATGTTAAAGCTTGAAGAAGTTTTGAAAGTAAAGTGGAGACAGAGTTGCTGGACGTTTGATTGACGGTCTTTAATCTACTATAATTTAATTCCTCTAAACCTTAATACTGTTAATCTTACCACAGTAGGCTTAGTCATACAAGCTGCTCATATACTTTTTTTTAATCCTGCTCAGTCCAGCCTCTGTTCTCACTAAATCTCTCATTATATCCTCTTCTGGTTGATTTAAAGTAATTCCTCTTAACAAATCCAACATAATTATCAATGCAATCAAGCCAGACTTACCATCCCAATCCTCACAGTGCTATCATGAACATCTTTTTCAAGGTCACTAAATATTTATGAAGCCTCCGATCACATTGTAGGTTGTTTTTAGTAACAACAACAACAACAACAACAACAGGGAGACCGTCTTTTGGGACTCTGATTCCTATCAGGGCATACGAACTACAGCTCGTTTTGTCTGTGAATATGTATGAGATTCCCCCTTTAGGACTCTCGGGGAGGTAAATCAACTAAGGCCGTATCTCTTTCCAAGTGCTCGGCTGGGAGATTAGCAGCAACTCGTCAGGGTTGAATATCTTCTGTTCCTCCTCGGGCATCGAGGAATTAAAAGGGCAGCAGCGGCTCGCAGGAACAACTTAGGAAGGATGGTGATGGGAGGTGGGGGTGGTGCTTAAGAGCATTGCTGTGGCACCAGGTGATGTATTCTCCACATGCATAGTGGGAGGCCTAATGTGGTTAATAAAACATCATGACCTCCTAACTTCTTCAGACATCACCAGCTCAATGAACGTAGGAAATGCATGTGGTGGATTCATGTGGTGATAGATGTCCAGGACTGTCATTTACTTTAGAATCATGTCCTCTTGAGACGTTGAAGACAAAACATAGGCAAATGTACAGTCATTTTCAGCCACTTCGAATTGGCCAATGACTGTACAATCAATGTTATATTCATGGTTCCCAGAGGATGAATCCCACTGACTGTGATGATCCCTTTTCCTCCAGCACCACCACAACACAAACATCTGTGTTTTTTAGTAACAGTTCAACTTCTGAATGGACTTGAATTAAGTTTGTTACATGCATCCGAGGATGAGGAGGATAATATGTCTCTTTAACCTAGTAAGCAGATGCCAAAATTATATAAATAACATTGATTGCTATGAGATTTGGTACAGACATTTGTGTTCTCCCTCAGGATGGTACTCTACTGATTCAAATGCGTTATCCAATACTTTGGTTTGCGACCTGCCGCAAACTATTGGCATACACATTTAGTTTTCCAAGCAAAAAAGACTAATCATTCTGATTACAGCTTCTCAGAGGTGACATGTTGCTCCTTTTCTTTCTTATATTTGTTAGTAAATAGATTTTGTTTGGGTATAACAAGAGACTGACACCACATTAGGCACAGGGAACTTAACTTTAACTTGTTCATGTTCTACTGTATACCGAAATGATTAATTGAGAAAATCTGCAAATTAATTGATAAGGAAAATAATTAGGGACCGTTAAGCTCCGACGCTATTGGTCTTTTTATCGGTACTGGAGACATTTAAAACATGTCATGTATTATTGCTACATAAACATTATATTGCAGTTTTAGTTTCGCCAACTCCGTTTCTTATATGCAATAAGAAAAAATGTGTGATGTATTTTCGATCTTTCCAATCCAGACGAAAAATCTATCTCTCCTGTCTGTGTGTGAGGGGGCGTAGTTTACACAGACGCTCTGCTACATGCATGCAACACACACACACACGTGGATGCTACATGCATGTAACACACACACACGTGGCTGCTACATGCATGCAACACACACACAGCGGAGATGGCGGAGAGAACTAAGCGCTAAAAGGTGTGGTTAAACTTTACACGTGTCGATGTGGACAATGCTCGTTGCCAAAAGTGCAATAAGAGTTTAGCATGTAAGGGCGGTAACACGAGCAATTTGTCCAAATCCTTTTAGTAACGTTTCCACGTCGGGTACGTTATGTATACCTTAATCTTCCTCCAGTAGAACCATTAGGCAGCAAACCTTTTGCAGCATACCTGTCTGCCCCACCTGTGTTGCTGTGTACCACTGTATTTTTGCAGTAAATACTTGTTTTTTGTTTGTATTTTACAGTTCTGTAAGTTCACATTATTTACAATTTGTTTAGGTAATTTACCTTTTTTTTCTCTTCAAAATAACCGATAAGAGTACCGTTAAAGGACCGGATCGATAAGCGGTATCGATAAAAGCAGTAGTACCGTTAAAACCTTAACGATACCCATCCTTAAAAAGAATCCTTAGTTGCATCCCTAATTTCCTCCTTAAACAGGGCAAGATGTTGAAGTGTATCATTGGTCTGACAGTGTAGGTCAGAAATATGTAGTGCTCCTCCAGTTGTTGCATCAGGAGTGATCAATGAGGTGAAGGGCAGGAGGCCGATTCACGCCTCCGAGATAATTTATCTATTTAGGTCACTTCCTTTCATAGGCCAGGTGTGCAATATTGGGCTACAGGGACAAATTGGCCCGATAAACACTATAATGTATAGTAAAAAGCAATGGTATAAAAAAAATGGTGCCATAACAGCAGCACAGCAGTTATGTTTAAATAAACCAAACCCTGCCTTTATTTCGACTTAATTCCATTTGATGGCAGGTAGTTTAAGCATAGTACATCTAGTTCTCTAGAGTCACCCTCTGACCTGGGAAACCTCACATCCATTTGGCTGCGCCTCACTGCTGTGTGGTGAAGCCGGTCGAAGTGGCGATCAGAGGAATGTCTCGCTAAGAAGGCAAGACGGAGGGAGGCGAAGGAGCAGAGGGGTAATCCTCTGGAGGAGGAGAGGCCAAAGTGAGGAGCAGACATGCAATATTGATAGAGGAGAGTGGGGCTGGTAGATGAGAGGAAGAGACAGCTCAGCCAGGTGTCTGCCACTTATGCAAACCTCAGGTTGTTTCCTCAACACACTAAAGAAGTTGTTGCTAGTTGGAAAAAGGGTTTAAATGTAGGCACTGTCACTTATGATTTCTTGCTTTCATTTCCAGAATAAAGTCCTGAACATTGATGGAGTCAAGGTGAAGCTCCAGGTAAGAACTTAATTTAATCTTGAAAAAACTACTTTTTCTACACACTTTGTTTATGTTAAATGTTGTTGCTAAAAGAAAGGCGTCAACCAAACAAGAATTGGTGTCTAACCCCCTATGGCATTGTACACTGAAAACCTTCCTATCCTATTCTTAACCCCCACCATTTTAGCTTTAGCAGTGCCTGTTATTCACTTTAGCTTTGTGATGCATAATGTCTAATCACACAATATAAATGAAAGTGTCTGGCCTTGGTTTGTTAGGAAATCAATGATCCTGATACAAAAAGCCCTTATTTGGGTTTATTCATCTCCATGAATACTTTCCATGAGGCTTTGAGTTGTTCTTCCCTAATCCACACTTCCTCCTTGTTTGAAATACATTGTTGTGTTTTTGATATTTCTCACAGAGAAAGTAAATATGTGAATCATCTCTGATGATCAGAGTTAGGAGTCAGTGGAGGCTGGTGAAGTGGGCCTTTGCTCTGTAATGTATTTAGTTGAGGTAAATTGGCTCAGTCAGTCTGCTGAGCACCCTGTAGCCCGAACAGAGAGGAGTTATTTTTCCTCCAGTAATTGCCGTTCTTCATGACGGCCTCTTGGCCCTGGAGGGGGTGGGGTCGTAAAGCAGAACCAGTAATGAAGCTGACACGTCTCAGTGAGAGAGGGGAGAAGAGGGAGGGTCTGATTAAAATCTACAGCAAGAAAGTGAGATGTAGTAAACCTGCACAGGTCTGCTTTAAGAGGAGTAGAAAAAGTAATTGCCATTTGAGCCGAAATTGTACTTGTCATTGCTGCCTGATGGGGAAAAAGACACTTAATTAGCCTCATTCCACTGAGGTTGGTTGAGGGGACAAAGAGCACCGACCACAGACGATTAATATGCAATATCATGACCCAGACTGAGCTCCAGATAAAAAATGATGGATGTGCTGTGACCTTAAGTCTGCACTTATTTAAGAACCAGTATTTATTATATCAACAATGGATCAAATCACTGTGTATTGTCAGTGATTTTAGCAACTGTTAACTCATTGCTTTAATTTACAGCCTTAAACCTTAGTGTTCCGAGTTCCTTTCCTCCCTTTTTAGTTAACCCTGTTTCCAGTAGCTAAAGGGGTCTGCACCAAAATACAGTAAAATATTGCAATTACATTAATCAGATGCTAGTAAACATAACTCTTAAGTACTAATGATGTTACTACGGGTCTGCTGATTCATACATGGGTAACCGTTTGCTAAGACACAAGCTTTATGCTGATAATATATCACCGTTGGGTTTTCAGTTTGCTGTGCTGCCCTCCTGTCGCCAAAAGAATTAAATTAGTACAGCTTTAAAGAACTGATCTATTTCAGTGCTGAATTGACAAGAAAATTGCCTTTTCAATTGTCCTGCATATCTCATTTCCATATTCTAGACTTAGCCAGGATCACAGGAGTAAATTGAATGGAGGGCTTCACAATGAGGTCTAGTGGGATGGATGAGCAAACGGAGGACTTATTAAAAAGATAGGAACTTCATTTTCTATTCGGTGATAACCTTCCTCTCTCATTCTCTGCAGATCTGGGACACAGCTGGACAGGAGCGGTTCCGCAGTGTCACTCATGCCTACTACCGTGACGCCCATGGTAAGACACATTAATATACACATCTATACGTTAATTATAGATGACTAACTTCTGAGTTAGGAAACAATCTTGGTTTGTTTTACCCTTTAGATACTTAACATGCAACCTAATAAGCAGATTATGGTCTCTTAACAGTGCTGTTTTAACATTTTGGTGTTGATTTTTTACCACATGATATACAGTTGCAAGTGAACCCTTTGGAACTACCTGGATTTCTGCTTAAATTGGTCATAAAATGTGTTCTGATCTAAATCTAAGTCACAACAATAGACAAACACAGTCTGCTTAAGCTAAAACCACACAAACAATTATATGTTTTATATTGAACACACCATGTAAACATTCACAGTGCAGGGTGGAAAAAGTATGTGAACCCTTGGATTTAATAACTGGTTGACCCTCCTTTGGCAGCAATAACCTCAACCAAACGTTTCCTATAGTTGCATATCAGACCTGCACAACGGTCAGGAGGAATTTTGGACCATTCCTCTTTACAAAAGTGTTTCAGTTCAGCAATATTCTTGGGATGTCTGGTGTGAATCGCTCTCTTGAGGTTGCCACAGCATCTCAATTGGGTTGAGGTCAGGACTCTGACTGGGCCACTCCAGAAGGCCTATTTTCTTCTGTTGAAGCCATTCTGTTGTTGATTTACTTCTGTGCTTTGGGTCGTTGTCCTGTTGCATCACCCATCTTCTGTTGAGCTTCAATTGGTGGACAGATGGCCTTAAGTTCTCCAGCAAAATGTCTTGACAAACTTGAGAATTCATTTTTCCGTCGATGATGGCAATCTGTCCAGGCCCTGAGGCAGCAAAGCAGCCCCAAACCATGATGCTCCCTCCACCATACTTCACAGTTGGGATGAGGTTTTGATGTTGGTGTGCTGTGCCTTTTTTTCTCCACACATAGCGTTGTGTGTTCCTTCCAAACAACTCAACTTTGGTTTCATCTGTCCACAGAATATTTTTGCCAGTAGTGCAAACATCCAGGTGCTCTTTTGCAAACTTCAAACGTGCAGCAATGTTTTTTCTGGACAGCAGTGTCTTCCCCCATTTTATGACCAACTTATGCAGAAATCCAGGTAATTCCAAAGGGTTCAAATACTTTTTCTTGCAACTGTATTATAAAGTCAGGTGCTGCTACAATATGTACATAAGTGTTCATAACAGAGGAAGCTCCAACATACCTTTTTTTTATATATTAAACAATTGTTCTTTGCCATTAAGATACAAGGATAATTAGTTTTGGAGAATTCTAGAAAAGTCCTGCTCTATTGACATGAAAATAAATGTGTATGCCAGTGTTATAATTCACAGCAGTGGTGGTGTCGAGGTGTAGATGAGATTGTTTTTCTTCCATTGTGCAGTACTCTTAAGAGCTGAGGGTTATTTTTAACTTTCCTGGGATGAAAATACAACACATTGAGGATTCATGTCCTCTTTGATGATTTGTAATCAGTCAAATCTCTGTGAGCCCGACTACATGGTTTTTCTCACAAAGCTTCTAACTAAGGGAGGGTTGCTCATAATGAATTGCTTCAATAAAATCCACATAAGCTTTTGTATGAGGAACTAAAACCCAAACCCTGAACAGTATGAAAAAACCATAAGGTCTGATTAGTCATGTTACATATTTCCTTAACCATCTAGTTTCATTTATGTCAGGAGAAAAAAAAGTAAGTCACATACAAAGCCTGTTACTTCAATTTCTATTTGCACATGGTTTTAAAGCAAGATATACGTGTAAATAAAATACATAATACCTACATAGGCTACATCAAAGGGTACCACATGGATAAGTATACCATTCAACCAAATTACGCAGACAACATATGTGCAGAAGACGGCCACAGTCTGGGAGTCATTATTCAAACTATCAGTGAATATTTGTATATAAAAGCACTTAAAGGCCTATTAAGCTATTATACAGGATCGGTTTCACCCCCCAGAGTCTAAACTACATTTTCTGTGGAGGTTTTTCCCATATCACTCACACTCCTGCTGTAAAGTATACATAACGAGTGTTTCAGTGAAAATGGTTCAATAAGAGATGAGAACATGCCGAGAAGAACTAAAGGATTTTACCTGCTAATGAAATGAATCAGATTACCTTTATTCGTCCCCCAGATGGGACATTTACATTTGTTACAGCAAGTAAAGAGTCAAAGATAGCTTAGTATTAATTAAAAAGCATGCATTCAAATATTCAATATTAAAGTAGAAATTACACAATTTATAACTACACATCCAGTACTGCAGTTTTGAAAATATAGCAGCCAGTTGGAAGTATTGAAGCTGGAAATGGAGGTTATGCTGACACAATTTTGCAGTTTGTCTTTGTGTCTCCATCATATTGAGAATGCATCGCTTGGTTCTGTCTTTTAATCTCCAGGCAGTCATTGATCTCTGTGTGATCAAAGGGAGATTTCTATGTGTCTACACAATCTGTTTAAGTGTATGCAACAGGGACAGGTTGTTAGAACATGATTTTGTAAGTATAAACTGATCTGTGTCGGTGTGTTGTTCTCATCCATGTCCCGTATTGGCCTTACCTTGTATAAATAAAGCAAGATTTATTTGTCTGTCTCCTGGAGGAAGGAGACCCTGGAAGACTTTTAGCAGGTCCAGTTTCAGGCGCGACGCCCGGGAACTTTCCATCATCTGAAAAACACATCCCACATCTTTGAAGTGCAGCCTTAGACATTTCAGTGTCAGGTTTTAAAATTGCTTTTCCATTACCACCATGAAGCATATCACAGGATAAGTTCAGGCAGCTGCACTATCTGTATCACTGAACAGAAAACATCAAGCATCTCAAAACATCCCAAGAGATGTGACCTCTTTTAGACACATGCCCTCCTCACCTGGCTGTTCTGGAGCTGAAGTGAGAAAAATAATTAGAGATAGCCTCTGGTATTTCAAGGTTAAATTTAGACCGTCAAACTTTATTGGTGGTGATGGTATAATTTATTAGAGCTTGACAGCCTTACGTAAATGAATGTCTTCTGTGCCTTTGGCAATGTAGATAGTGACTGTTCACGTTAGACGAAGTTGCAGTGAATCACAAACTCCTGTCAGTAAGCTTTTAAAGTTTCTGAAGTGTACAAAAGGCTCTGCTACTTTGGTTTCCCCAGCTTTAAGTATTTCAATCAAACAAAATCAAAAACGTTTTGTTCAGTCTACTCTGCTCTACACAATGTAGATACACTCTACACTGTCATTCCCTTTGTGATCCCTATAAACTCTGAAAACAAACTCGAGTTTTTATCTGCAGTGTACTTTAGTCCATCCTCGTATCACCACAGTGAACGGATCATACAACAGAAGTAGTTTTTATGGGTAGCTCCCGGTGACTTCTGTCTCTTTAAAGCAAGACTGTACATCTGTCTACATCAAAGTATCTCTGTGAAACGCCAGCAGACCTTGGGCCAAGCTACGCCTCGACTATTATAACAATCTGTAAGTGCTGTGTGGCAGAGGTACTTCTACAAGTAGATAGTGCAATATATTGCTTTAGAATCAGAAAATGATACACCCAAGTTATATGCAGGAAGATTAAAGTGATGAGCAATATCTTTTACATTTTTGTCTTAGATATTGCCTATTGAGTCTTTGTCTCAATAGGCAATTACAAATCAACCCTGATAAATATGTCATGTGGGGTTCCTCAAGACTCCATCTTAGGAACTTTGCTTTTTAATATTTATATGCTACCTCTGGCTGAAATTATTCAAAAGAGCAATCTAAGCTATCACATCTATGCAGACGACACCCAGATTTATCTTTAAATTGCACCGGGAGACTATTCTCCGATTAGAACACTGAGCAAGTGCATTGAGCACATCACTGACTGGATGACTCAGAACTTTCTCCAATTAAACAAACAAAAAACTGAGATCATTGTTTTTGGAGAGAGACTATTATAAGTGGTGAATGTG